CTCAAGGCTAGCGCTCTACCACTTGAGCCACAGTGCCACTTCCGGCTTTTTTCTTTTTGCTTATGTGGTGCTGAGGAATTGAACCCTGGGCCTCGAGCATGCAAGGCAAGCGCTCTACCACTGAGCCACCTTCCCAGCCCTAGCTTGGAACTTTTTTATCCTCCTGCTTCTACCTCCTGAATGCTGGGATTACAAACATGAGCCACCAGATGAGGCCATTTCTTATTTTCAGTGTTAACACAAGACACAATGTCTCCACTGTAGCATAAATGCTGATATGTCTACTCAGGATAACTGTTAAACAGTGAATTTCAACCTGGGGAATAAAAAAGCTTTAGTTTTATTTTTTGCAATACTAGGGCTTGAACTTAGGTAGATACTCTACAGCTGCGCTATGCCTCCAGCCCTTTTTTGTCATGGTTATTTTTTGGCCATAGTGTTTTTTGTTGTTGTTTTCTTGCCTGTACTGAGGTTTGAGCCATGGCCTCATACTTCAGTCAGCTTGTCTGCTTGTTCAACTAGTGTTCTATCACTTTAGCCATGCCCCCAGGCCTGACTTCTGTTTAGAGATGTAACTGTCCCAGATGCCTGGGCTGCCTTTGAACTGCGATCTTCTGGATCTCAACCACTAGTCGGAACTCAGGGCCTTGTGCTTGCTGGGCTGAACCTATACTGCTGAGCCAATGCCTCTAGCTCTGTTTCTTGTTGGTTATTTTTGGGATGCAGTCTCATTTCCTGCCTGAGCCATGAGCAATCTACTTTCAGGCTATTGATAGGTGCTGGGGAAACAGGGACATGCTACCAAGATCAACATCCCTCTATGGAGATGGGATCTCACAGACTCCATTTCTGCCAAGGATGATCTCAAACCTGCATTCTCCTGATCTAATCTTGCCAAGAAGCTAAGATTACAGGCATGAGCCACTATTACACAGTTTATGCATGCCATATTTTTTTTTTGGTTGGTTGGTTGTGGGGTTTGAACTCTGGGCCTGGGCGCTGTCCCTCAGCTCTTCAGCTCAAGGCAGGCCCTCTACTGCTTATTAAAGCCACAGCACCACTTCTGGTTTCCTAGTGGTTAACTGGAGATAAGAGTTTCATGAACTTTCCTGCCCTGGGCTGGCTTTGAACCATGATCCTCAGATCTTAGCTTCCTGAGTAGCTAGGATTACAGGTGTGAGCCACTGACACACTTATTTTTTTGTTTTTGTTTTTTTGGGTCTGGTCGTGGGGCCTGAACTCTGGGCCTGGGTGCTGTCCCTCAGCTCTTCAGCTCAAGTCTAGTGCTCTACCACTTGAGCCACAACGCCACTTCCAGTTTTTCTGCATATGTGGTGCCGAGGAATCAAACCCAGGGCCTCAGGCATGCAAGGCAAGCGCTCTACCACTGAGCCACCTTCTCAGCCCCGATACACTTATTTTTGAGATAGAGTCTTACTACCTTGCCTGGGCATGGACCCAGACTGTGAGCCACCTATTTTAGGTTTGTAACTGCAATGACAGGAAAACACCACAACATCCAGTTTCTTCCACTGACATGGAATCTTGAGAACTTTTTGCCCAGGCTGGCCTAGAATTGTGATCTCTTTCTGACCTCATTCTCTCAGGTAGCTAAGGTGACAGGGCTTTACAGTTTTAAAGAATAAGGAAAAAACAAAACAAACCCCCAGACTACTTATATGGGGCTCAAAAAATCCTAATCAGAATAGCCATTATTCCAGTATCGCCTTTATTGGGGGAATATTAGTGAAGTGTCTAGATTTATTAGGAGTCTAGTTGCTATTTTTTTTGGGGGGGGTCCGGTTGGGGGGCCTGAACTCTGGGTCTGGGCACTGTCCCTCAGCTCTTCAGCTCAAGGCTAGTGCTCTACCACTTGAGCCACAGCGCCACTTCCGGCTTTTTTCTTTTTGCTTATGTGGTGCTGAGGAATCGAACCCAGGGCCTCAGGCATGCAAGGCAAGCGCTCTACCACTGAGCCACCTTCCCAGCCCCTTTATTTTTTTTTTTTTTTGCTAGTGCTAGAGCATGAACTCAGGGTCTGGGCCTGTCCCAGAGCTTCTTTTGCTCAATTCTAGCCTTTTCTGTTTATGTGGTATTGAAGAATCAAACCCAGGGCTCCATACAGACGAGGCAAGCACTCAACCACTAAGCTACATTCCCAGCCCTATCAAAGACTGTCTTCTAAGCAAAGAATTTATACGAAATTAAGATGAGAATGGAGGACTGTCCAGGGACAGTGCTTAGGCCCTGAGTTTAAACCCCAGGCCTGGCATACACATACATATACATGCAAACATACATACATACTTAAACACACAATTGTATAATCATTTTTCATACCATAAGTCTGTCTTCCCTAAAATAAATAAGCCATCCTTGCTTTTATATGATTTTATAGTTTATAGATGGGTATGTCACTGAATTGCCATTTGTTAAAAGTTCCTATTCACCTTAGTTTATGGAGGATTACAGATAAAAACTATAAAACAAGGCTGGGAATGTGGCTTAGTGGTAAAGTGCTTACTTAGCAAGCATGAAGCTCTGGATTCAATTCCTTAATACCATATACACAGAAAAATCTGAAGTGACACTGTAGCTCAAGTAGTAGAGTGCTAGCCTTGCGCACTGAAAGAAATGAAGAAGAAAAAAACGACTGAAGAAAAAAAAAAAAGCTAAATTGTCAAGCCCACCCCTGATCTGCTATTTGGAATTCATACCACATCTGGGCTGGGAAGGTGGCTCAATGGTACAGTACTTGCCTTGCATGCATGAGGCCCTGGGTTTGATTCCTCAGCATCACATAAGCAGAAAAAGCTGGAAGTAGCGCTGTGGCTCAAGTGATAGAGTGGTAGCTTTGAGCAGAAGGGCTGGGGGACAGTGCCCAGGCTCAGAGTTCAGGCCCCCATGACTGACAAAAAAAAGAGGAATTTATACCACATCAATGCCCAGAGGACTATAATGTGACTCCTACACCTATTAACGTGATAAGGAAGCTGTTTTCCTAAACACTATAATGCACCAAAGAAAGCACATGACCAAATGACTGCTTTCTACCTTCATGGAATTCCAAAACACCTTTGATTTCTGAACAGATTTTAAATGGTATCCCTAAACTAAGAAGGGTCAATGGGAAGGGGCTCTCTCATCAAGCCAATCTATTTTCCTAACCTTGTAAACATCCCACACTTACCAGAAGTTTCCACAGAACACACCATCTTTAAAAATTCTTGGTGAAGCTGGGCACTGGTGGCTCATGCCTGTAATCCTAGCTACTCAGGAGGCTGAGATTTGAGGATCACAGTTCAAAGCCAGCCCAGGCAG